CAAAAAGCTGTAGAAGAAAACTAAACAGACCATCAGGAAGCGCAAACCTTCCGCTTTCCAAAACTATCTTCCCTTTTTCAGGATCTTACAATATAAGAGATATATTGCTCTTGAAGTGGCAAAAACTCGCGTGAAAATTTGGGCCTCCTCGACATTTACTCGACGAAATTTGACAGACCCTATCTTTCTGCAAGGAAGGCTTCCAGAGCAATTTCGATGCTTGTTGGAAACGCGAAATCCAGCTCTATCTAACTCTACCTCAAGCTGCTTCAAAGGTTGTGAAATGGAGGAATGCAACCTTTTCATCGAGGGTGTAGATTCGGACGTTTTTTTTTGAAATTTCGGCAAATCTGACCCAGTGACAATCGCGCCGCAGCTGCCGTTGAATCGGCCTTTGATACACTCGGCTGTTTTGATATACTCAAGCAAGAATCAAGATTGAATCGCAACCCCGTGTCTTCAGGATTTCTGTGCGTTTCTGAACGAACCTCGCCTTGAGGTCACACAAAGTTAATGCCTCTTTCCTCGAGTCGATATTTCAGTATGTACACAAAAGTATGCAGCGATGGAAGACGTGCATAGATGACAAGATGAAGCGTCCTTAGCATTATTTTGCAGAATTTTTTTTGATTTGTTTTGCAGGATTTATTTTAATTGAATTAATTTGCTCTGTTAGAGGGGGTCGTGCCAGGATCTCGATTTCGGGGGGGGGTCGTACCTCTGCGACCACGTACTCGACACGATTTTCACCCTGCCCTGAGTACATTTTAGTCGCCGCCTATCTGCGTCTCTTCAATCCCCATGCACTTCCCCCTTTCTCTGCACGTCATGCATTGGTCGCATTGAGCGTCTCTCCGTCCCTGCCATGCGCAGAGCGCAGGGAAGAAAGGGGTTCGTGGAAGGTGTTGAGTGTGGGCAGCAAGAAAGCCACTGGAGCTATCGATAATATTGATAACTTTCTGCCAATAAGGTGATCAGCTGTCCCCCGCAGTGTTCCACTTATTGATCGTGTTATAGCTCCTTCCTTGGTCCCGGGAGCATTTCACTACTGTACAATCATCTAGGCCATGATCCTAGGTTACAAACACGTCGATTGGCGCAGTGGGTTCGTTCCTTGTTGACATTGGATCGCTCGCGGGATCAGTTCTCCATGATACTGGATGTTTTGCAACCCTCATAGGATCCTACCTTGCTTTCTACAATTCTTTCGAAGTAACACAGCAATGCTTTGTGGTGCAGTGGCAAACGTCGCGCTCATGGGCGCTGCATTACATGGTTCAAGTCCATGGCGACGCGACTTTTGCTAGGAATGTAGTGAAGCTCGCCATTCAGAGCGGGGTCATCTGGCTGTCTCGCCTTTCATTATTCACCGTTTACGGCCGTAGTTCACCACCTTTAACTCCCAGTCTATGGCACTTTACTACCGTCCCTGACCGTATCCCAGTGAAGGTGGACATGTGTAGTACGTGACAGATATGTGAGAGTATCGAGCTCTAAAACTTTGCAATCGCCGACAAAGGCTCTCAGGTTTTGTCATTGTTTTTCTCGGAGAGTGACAAGAGCGACCCATTTAGCCCCTTTTCAATGAAATAACGACTTTTTGGAGAAAATAGACAGAAATATAATCGAAGCCGGGTCGGGCATAGTTCCAGTAGTAAGAAAATGTGTAGACGAGGCTTCTGCAACATCCCACCTCCAGGATCACTAGGCACAGGATGGGTGCTGAACATTTTATGTCGATCATTCCTTTCAGGAAGCGCGCCAACAAGGTTCAACCACCCGAGGCACCACTTTAAATGAATTTGAGGTCACAAAACATGATCTACACGCTCTTCATTCATCGTGTCGGAAGTGATGCGGGCTGGCCGAAAAATCAGCTTGGTCCAACAAAATTCGGTCTTGACCTCACCGCACAAGAGCGGCTTTGGTGCTTCGTTGAACCACCGGCCTACTGGAGATCCCACGGTCAGCATTACAAGTCTCCCTACATGGTCTTTTCTGTAGGGGCAAGTAGTGCACAGATCATTCCTGCTAGCGGCGTTTAGACGGCTTATTTTAAACTCTTTGGGCCCACGGTGTAGGCGCATAGGAGTTTGCTGGCACACTCCATTCCCAGCAAACCCCTATGCGGTTTGTGTCAGTGAATCATTCTGTTGCTACTCACGGGTATCTACAGAAACGTGTTCTTCTAATCATTCACCTACTACCTGCAGGTGTGCTATTCTTGCCTAACGGAGCGTAAATAAGGGCGAAAGGGGTATAGTAGTAACAAGTTTTTCTCTTCTTGACAGCGGTTGACAGGCTTCCCAGTCCGTTTTGGACGTATTCGAAAATTTGTGCGGTTCCCCTCCAAGCCCTTGTTAGCCGAGCTCTCGATCTCACGATGCCTTGAAGTTCGATCCCTGCCTGAGATGCGTTTGGAGGAAATGAAGCCCTCACCAACGTTCGTCTGAGTGGGTAATCCGCGATTCCTCCATCTTTTAGCCTTTTTCAAGCTTTTATTGAATTTCTGATTATTTTTGATATTTTCTATATTTCTGATATTTCTAATATTTCTCTGATATTCGAATACTAGTCAAAGCTACACAATCTTACGCTTTACTACCTTCTATTTGGTACATTCCATGTGTGTAATTGGGACCAGGGCGAACACAATGGCAGTTCAAGAACTTGTTGAGAAATTTATTGAGAACAACCAACTCCCTGTTCTTGACTCAAATCTTCGACGCCGCATATGAACTTGGAGAAATTTTCGAACCACTCAGTCTCCAATCTGCCTTCACCCCATCATTCACTGATTCGGCGAGCAGTTCAAAGAAATCGTTTACGGATATTCTTGCATGCTTTCCTACGATCAATACGCTAGTTGTGACCATTTGACCCAGCGTACAAATTTCACGCCACGAGTTTTTGAAGAGGAAGAAACCACGAAGAACGATCTCAGGTAGTTCGGGCTGAGACAAGGGAACGTATGGAAGAAGTGCGTCTTGGGGCGGCCACGTATCAGGGGCGCTTTGAAAGAATCCGGTAAAGCTTTCGAATTTGGAGAATAGAGACAAAACTATCGAAAGAATAGGATGCAGTAGAAGAGAGAAGTGTCTTTCCATAAGCGGGAAAGGCCATGAAGAATTCTTAGTGAAGGCAATCTGTGAACGATAAGGAATCGTTTCCGTGCCAACATTTGTGACAGATGTGCGGGAATTTGAACGCGTGACAGTCCTTCTTTTTGAATTTTTACCGAAACAACAATTTTTTGTTCTTTTCGTTCTTATCGTGAATGATGGGCCTCAAGCCAGTGATTTATGGGTGAGATAGAATCACGGTTTTCGCAGACGATTCCTTTATGAAGCATTCTCTTTTACCACGTTGACGACAGGCTGACGCGCCAGAACTATGTCATTCATTTTTATTGTGCTTGCGCTCCTTCTTCTCGAGTTTTTTGTATTCATTCTATAGATAATACATTAGCATAACTATAAACCACATGGCAGCCAGTATCCCTTGATTTAGCAAAGATTTTCTGAACGCACAAAACTTTCATTTCAATTCTTTCCTAGTATTCCTTTCACTGTCGTGAACATTCATATGAAAGATTGTATTAGTAAAATATTATAATAATATAATAATATTAGTAATATTATTGATTATATTATTTATATTCATTAATTAATATTGATAGAAGCAGTTAATACAAAACTCTGTGAGTTTCAAGATATTTGTATTTGATGGAAGAACTTACTTATAAATGCTTTTAACTTCATTCGCAGCGAAAGTGATGTTTTTTGCTTCTTCGCGATCATTATGCGTTCTTCTTAACAAAGCTCTACTGCTCTTTATATATTAGGTTGTCCTGAAAGTCTTTGGCTATTCCATGCGTATGTTGTGAAATCTCCAGGGATAATTTTTGAACATCTGTAATTTGCTGGCTGGCCTAAAGAAGAAAAGTGTATTTGAAGAAAAATCGACAAATGGCCAAAGACTTTCAGGACAACCTAATAGTTACTCTTTATGCTCTCATCCTTGCCGAAATAATTCTATGAAATTCAAGTTGTTGTGCATTTTAAACAAAAAATAAGCGGAAGTAAGGTGAGGACGGCGCGCTCGCAAAATCGCTCCTGTCCCACGCGGTGCAAAATGCCAAAACACGCGATGTCGTCAACGTGTTAAGTCAGCTTATTCCTAGGCTACACAAATGATCATGTGTAATACTGAAACAAATTTCAAAGTATAAAAAATGAAAGCATTTGGCGTTAGTCACCCTTGTTCAGTAACACGCCACGTATTCCACTTCCAATCCGCATCGCTTTGCAAATTATTTTTATTTATTTACAGGGTGGCCGAAAAGTATAGGACGCCATGTTTTTGTGTGTAAAAGCCAAGAAAGAGACTCGATCAGGAAACCGACTTCACACAAAGATAGGGTTTGGCTATTTGATCACTAGTGCAGAAGGAGCTTCGAATTTGATGGGTCTGCTGTGGGTTTTCAGATTATGTAAAGCGATCAGAATTGACCAACTATATTCTGGAAAAGCACATCTCTGAAGAAAGCGGCGGGAAGTTCTTGCTAAGCGTAATAAAGAGATGGTGAATGCCCATGACCTATCTTCCCATGCGGCTAATAAATGGGTGTCATCTCCGATTAAATCATATCTGAAGTTGTAGGGCCGGTTCTTTGAAGGTTGCGAACAGAAATGTGCGCGCGCTGACGAAGCGAGTTCTGAGCCGCGCTAGGGAGATCACATTTTCTGCTGAGCTTATCGCCGAGGTGACAAGGACTTGTGCAGAAAGGGTTGTTTTTTCCTAAGTCAAGTACCGTTGATGCATCACTTTGGTCACCAATGAATCATATTCAGCATACATAGTCATCTCCACGTTACGTTGTGACTTAAAACACTTATCCTAAGCCGCTTTTTCCTGCTGTTTATCAGGATATTCTCAACATCGTGTTTTGTTTACCTCTGACGATCGATGGGATCGTATAATGCTGATTTTCAGAAGTTATGGATGACGACAATTATGACCGGCACTTCCGGTTGCTGATATGTGGAGGAAAAGGGGTAAGTTAGAGGCTATAGTAGCAGGGCAATACTAATTAGTTTCATAATTATAGGTCCACCCTAATTTTTTGCTATTCCAAAGTTGCTGTGCATTTTTGGAAAATGCCGCTATTACCAATAGTTTCCCCATAACGAAAAACCTTGATACTTGATTTCTGGAGAAATCTCGATTCAGAATTATTAAAATATTTTTAGAACGTATTTTCACCGTTTCGCAAATATGACTACACATCACTTGTCGAGAGATTTTATTATAACAAAAAAACGTCACAAATTTTCAATAATGGGATGGTCCTCCATTAGTCATAAGGAACACAATAATACGTTTTGGAATGCTGGTAACCAAATTAGCTATTACATTAGGATCGAAATTTGTCTGTGCGCCGATGATCGACGTTTTCAGCTCTTCGGCTGTTCCATTTTGCTTTTCTTGCTGTAGAACTTTTTAACAATAAGGCCCAATGATTCTCCATTGGAATCTGATCATGCGGGCCACTAGAGACTGCCACATTTCTTCTTGCACTTCCTTCTGGCGTGTAAGGACCGGCATGGACAGCCGCGTTATCGTGCATAAAATCAAGGATCGAGGGGGTTGTTGTCGAAAAAATGGTAAATCGCTTCAAAAGAACTTCACGATACCCTATGGAATCCTTGTGAAAGGAAACAAAAGCGAGCTCTAGCCGCTCAGTCGTTCAAAGGTGCCTCAAACCATAAGGGATTCTCCGCCGAAATTACGTTACATTGAAACCATCTGCGATTTTCACGGACCCTCCTGTACCCTCTTTTTCTATCAGATCCACCTAGAATAAACTTTTTCACGTCGATCTCAGATCACCTGTAGCACGAAACAAGGAGGTAGAGTCCAAGATCGCGAAGGGTCTTAACAGCCACACCTTCGCTCATTAAGTTGAGCCCTTTTCCACGGAGAAATGGAGACGTGCGATCTTGTAGCGCTCAAATAATCTTGGAACGCTCTTCATCAATCCGCTGAAGATGTTCTTGCTCTGCTGGCTTATCACACACGTGGTTTTGCTCACGGAAGGCCGCATTTCAGCACGGACTTTGTTCGGACTCCTTGTATAATTCGACAGAAGACGCCCAATTCCTCTTAAATTCAAAGAAACCTTCATTTACCAAGCTACTCTTCTCTCCGCACTGACCAGGATTTTCGCACATAGTTGCTTATGCAGTATGAGCCGGCCGACATGGGAGGAAATTCTGCTCCTCAGCCATCCCACTTCAGTAAGTGCTCTGGCTTGAGCTTGTTACTGGGAAGAGAGGCGAAGTAACACGAGGTATGGTAAACTCGATGTCGACTGAGCTCACATATATCCCCGCTTCCCTGATTCCCTTCACGGATCGTGAGAAATGGAAACTTTTTATGAGTGGCCCGATATTCATGAAACGGTGAAAATTCGTTCTGAAAAAGTTAATTGGGTTACTTGAGGGGGGAATTTGTCAGAAAAACACTATGAAGGTTTTCCGTGATGAGGAATCTAACGGTGATAGCAGCATTTCCAAAAAATGCACAGCAACTTTGGGTAGCAAAAATTTAGGGTGGACCTATAATTATGAAACGCAGTGTATTCGCCCCGACCCGTTCTACGTAATTCATGTTTTCGTAACAAAGGAGAAGTCAGTTTATTAAGTTCTCCTGTAAGTAGATAGTGTAGGTTTTTTTGAATGGAAATCCTTCCTATAAAACCCTGAGTTTTCACCCGATGTTATGTTGCGTTCAAAAAAATTGTTCGCTCTTCAGAACACTTTGTATCGTTTCTATAAATATTGCAAACCGCTGACTTGAGGCTTGCAAAGGGCGAGTTTCAGTAGACGAAAGGCAGCCAAACAGGCAACTAGCCCAAACTCTTTGTTTCTGACAATGAGAAGGAAACCAATCGATAACGAGTCATTTACATAGTCATACCCTCTTCCTAACCACACACTTTTTAATGCCTTAAGAAGTCGTCTTGTTCTTTTTTGAAATTCTACACACTTTTCCAATTGATAGCTATTCTTTTGTAGCTTTTTCGAACCAGAATTTTCAGAAGTCTCAAACCCCATCATTTCACTTTACAACACACATATTTCGAGAGCGCCTCTTCTGTTCTATTGGAAATATGCTTCCCGTTTCCTCCCGTTATGATTTCTAGAATTTTATGCTCACCTAACATGGTGTCCAGCCAATGGGAATGATGATATCACCCCAGAAAACTCCTCTTCCCCAGAATTGCCACAAATCGTTCAGTGGTGTGCCGTACATAGGTAGGACCAACTCTTAACGTTTCGTCAGTTTCTACCGTTTTGGTGATAAATACTTTGGGGCCTAGGCTGGACTTACGTAGGAGCGGCCATCAACTTCTGTCTGTCGAGGTAATCAGATTTTAACAAGAAGATACGGCCTGTTCCACATTCACTAGTTGAGTGTTAACCCGAGATTGAAGTTAGTAAGGTGATACTCCATTTTTGGTTCCCTCGTCGGAACTCTTCTAAGAAACCTCAGATTTTCAGTCAATTGCTGATTTGGCTACTTCCGTACTACTGAGCCTCCCAATCCGCAAGTTTGTGGTTCAGTAATTTCAGAATGCTCGTGGAAATTGTATGATGTGATGTGGAGTGGACAATACTTTTTCGAATGGCGTATGAAATTATTTGAAAACTTGCGGTATTCTGAGGAAAAGTTCTACCCGAAGAAAAACGGGATTATTTTTAAGACAGCTAAATTATAAAAAATCTATAACTGCTTCTCAGAGAACCACATCTTTCAAAAAAGAAAGTAGCTGTAATTTAGACAGGAAAGTCAACCCTTTTGTCAAGCTTTTCGTTCGAGAGTGATCGGTCACAAGGCACGACGGTGTTGCGACTAGACGACGATAATATTCGCATCGATGTGCGGAAAAAAGCCGAGGTATATCTTGTTTTCTCCACGTACATACATATAAGCAATTATCTTATAGAGTAGCCAGCAAATCCGTTGTAAATACGATCTGCGCTAATTGTTTTGTTTCGGATTATTAAAAGTGCTGGGGGTCTTAGAGACGTACGAAGTGAGAAGTTGCATCGCTCCCGCCCATTATTTTTTACTTCAACTTTCTTTAATTAGGAATCCAAATACGGCTACCTCGTCACAGTGCTTGTAGTCATGCACGGCGGCTCTATTTGGACAGTACGGACAACCTTATATTACATATACTACTTGTTTTGTGTGTATCACTGTGAACGACTCGCTCCCTTTACTACAATCGATTGACGGACAAACAGTGAATGACGTCATAAACCAGATGCGAAGGAGTAAACAACTTAACAAATAAGCAATGAAGGTGGCCTAAGTTGTGTGCCGACTCAGTGGGGAAGTAAGTTGAAAAATAGAGGACAATTTTCAATCACATGGAGCCTGTAATTGTGATCCTATTCTTAGAAGTGTGTTACTTTTCTGCATAAGGGTAAAAAGTAGGGGGAGAGCGTGAAGAGCCAGGTGCCGAAAGCAGAAAAGGTAGGGGCACAGCAGTAACGTAGTTGGGGAAAGTACATGGAGTAGTACCTAGCCATGATATCGCGCTAAAATAATTGGGCGTGTGGGAATGGTGGCCGATGTGCGCAAATAATAGCAGATTCAAGTCATTAGCTCTTTATTTTACTTGTGAGCCTTGTGATAGCTTCTTGAGCAGCTGATCAGAACGCTAAGTTCTCAATCCCTCGACAGGAGCGACATCGCGCCCTTATCTGGGCCACCGCTGTATCTGGAGGATCTTTATAAGCATATTCTCGTCTGGGATTCGCAAGGGTGCCGGCACACATAGTGGCTTTAATTGGCAGTGAAATACTTATGGTGAAAGATATGTATCATTCTGAGATTCCCCTGGTGTTCTGCTCACTTATTTCCTAGCTTTTTAATCTAGAAAATCCAAGCACATATCCTGTGGTATGAGTGAGAATATGGAGTGTCACTCTTGCTCTTATGTCATTGAATCGTCATCTTTATGCACCACGATATAGCTTATACTCTTTACTTGTCATCATATTATTTTAAATATATTATTTCACGCGAGTCAAAAGCATAATACGAAGTTTTCAGTGGCAGAGAGAATACATCTCCGAATTCGATGCAGTCGTCGTTGTATTTGCTGCCGATGATTTCAAGGTGAGAACTAACCCTAAATAGAGCCTATGCTAAGTAAATACTGAAGATTTTGCGTCTCTCTCAAAGCCAAGACCTTTTCTAGAAGTAGAACCTTGGATGTAATATATTTCATTATCGGGAGCAAGGCAACTCGAACTGGTAAAAGCCCGACAAAGACACCCCCAGCACCATAGGTTCCCAAACTCAAGTTTAGGGGGCATCCTCATAAGGAATACTGTTGCACCGAGGATTTACGACAATCGCGATATGATCAATTGTCATTTTTTTCGGTATTACCTCATTTTACCATTTACCAGAATGTGAGTCGGTTAAACGGAGCATCTCGTGAGCATATGAAAATTGAACAATTCTTACACCAGTTTCTTTCTCGAAGATCTTAGAAGACCTGAAAACACCTTATCACTCTAGATTGTGTCCAGAAATCCTTTCCATGGGTGAGGCCCTGTGGTCCAATAAGTGATGGTCATGCCTCATCAGGTGACTGGAATGAGCGCTAGAGCCTTCAGCCTCAGTCTGGGAGTAAAGTTAGGCTTGGATCAGCCGAAAAATTGACCCACATCGCTCTCCAAACAAACTAGGTGAAGAGGAGTTTTTCAAGTTCTTTCACGGAGGATTTCTGTTTCTTTATTCTTTTTCGAAGACCTACTGACTCCCCGTTGTACGATTGAACTTAACTTAGCCTTAAAGGAATCTTGCGCGGAAAAATCATGATTCTATTTCAGCCATAAATCACTGGCTTGAGACTCATTATCCACGATAATAGTGAAAAGAACTGAAGTATTGCTTTCGTTTTGATTAGAAATTCGAAAACTCGAAAAGGCTGCTACGCGTTCGAATTGCCCACGGACGTCTTTCACGAATGCTGGCGACGGGGATGCTCAAACTTGGTTCTTGGAGTGCATTCACTAGAAGCTCTTTCTGGCCTTCTGTTGCATTCACATCTTACACTTCTACTCCATCCTATTCCATCGATCGATTTGTCTCCACTCTCCGAAATCGCGCGCTTTAACCCGATTCTCTCATTGCGTCGCCTGGTACGTAGCCGGCCAAACGCCGTCTTCTTTCCATGCCTCGCCTGGCTCTGCCTCCTGGTCCTTCGATGGTCCATAACGTGTAGTTTTTGTACGTTTGTTTCTCTTCAGAAACCGAATCTTCATGCGTGAAACTTTGTGTGCTATTTCCAGTGATCACAACTGACATATTCATGTTAGGAAAGAGTGCAAGAATTTTCCGCGCAAGATTCCTTTAAGCTGCAATCATGAATTCATGGACCTCTTCCGATCCTCCTCGTCTTTAGTTAACTTTTATAAGCTTACGATGCATGTTAGATTATACAAGCATACATGCTGTACAAGCATACAGACAATTCGAGTTCATATATCGTATTGCAGAGTTTCGAATATGCGGTGGAAGTGCTCCGTAGCGTGCAGAACTGTGATTTCTTACCAGTTGTGATAATAGAAAACAAAATAGATCTCATCGATGACTACGACTTTTCGAACAAGGATGTCATTGAAAACTCGGTCAGACAAGCAAGGATACGGCTCTACAGGTGAGAGTTTTCTTACCAAATCCTAAATTATGATTCACGCCAAACGTTGACGCCAAATGCTGATAAGGAATTATCAGTGAACGCTTGTTGATTGAGGGGAATGGTCAAGGGGGTAGAGACCAGCTATGAAAATCCCTATCCGTATTTGGCATGAAGAAGCTGCAGTGGACGACTGAGCAACCTAAGCAAAGATTCGCTCCATCTCCCATACTTCTGGGATACATCTGAATTACAGCTTACGTAAAGAACGAAGACAGCGAGGAAAATGAACATTGCGCACTCAGTTATTCAGCTTTGTTCTATCTACGCCAGGCGTTCTTCCATCAAAACGTAGTGGCCCTAAAATGCGATTTGATCTTTGCAGCGACTCGGCGACGGGCTGGAGGGGTGGGAATAGCAAATGTAGAGTGGATCAAAATTATGAGGACTAAGACATTGTGTAGCTAAAAACTCATAGTAGCTTGATGGAACGAAGAAACTTTGAAAAAAGTGCTAGTAACGCTTTTCTCAAAGTAATTCAATAGAATTGAGATCTGCCACCTGCCCCGTTTGCACGAGCCTTCAGATGAAGGGGGGGGGGAGACGGTGGCACGCAACTGAGGCATGTCAAAATGTTCCAGGCCTTCTGCTCTGTTTTCTTCAGGGTATCCGATTTTTGCCTCCAGGGTGTAAAATACAGAAATCTAGAGCTAAGTGGAGGTTCCATTGTAACAATTTAACGAACTCGAAAAATCGCTTTTCAGAGAATTTTTGCTTTATTCTTGGGTGCTCGGTCCTGTAAAAAGTCCCAAGTAGACTACTCGTGTGGCTTTCTATCCACTACAGATGTGGAGTCTTTAGAGTGTCTGGCTGGGTTTTCACATCAATTTTTTCATTTTGGGTGTACGAAAGTCGACAAGGGGAGACCTAGTTTCTGCATCTGATAATTATCCTGGTGGTAACTGTAACTTTCGAGTCTCCGAATTTTCCATCTGTGGTGGTTCCAAACTTATTGAAGAGTTGAACTGTTGCTCATAAGAGCTTCCCTGATAGGTTAGACTGCTGCTAGATGTAACGTGCCAGAGCCCTTAGTGAGTTCATTTTGAGGAATGAAGTAAGTAGTATTACACTGGTGTGCAAAACTTAAGGACCGAAGTAACTTTCACATGATATCTCACTGCTAGTTAACCTAGGTGGACCAAATTTGGCACATATATAGAAGTAAATGTTGCGGTACAGTGCAGAGAGTTACTAACAGAAAAGCGCAAAGGGGCGATTGGAAAAGACATTTTTCTGCAAATACCCTGTCTGAAGCGGTCGATAGGTGAGGCTTCTCCAACTCATGGTAGACACTCAAAAGAGAGGAGCTAGTTCTTGATGGGGTGTATGAACACTACGGACTGCAAGGTATGCTCTGCTACGTGTTCCCATACAGGCCGTAAGATTAGTTAAGAGTTCTTGAGGAGAAGTGACCGATTCCTTGGAGACCGCGATTGACAACTGCAGGACTATTGTTGGCACATGGTCATGTGCTACAATAGCTCATCTGAATCCACGCCACACGTGCTCCATAGAATTAGACTGGAGGAAATAAATGGCTTCACCAATTACCGAAAATCCTCACTTTTCAAGAGTTTTCCACCCAGGCTGCTCGATACTCTCGCACACTGCCCTCCATACGATTGAAGCTGAGGGCAAGGGAAACCCTTGGAAAGATGCACATGACAGAAGGGTACAACACCACAATCACGTTGATCAGAAAGTGTAACGCGATCATGAGTTGGGGATCAGTACGCCCCGACAACTTTATGCCTCCCCACATCATGTCGCATGCACTACCAAAACAATCATGTTAAACGATGGTCCTGGGTAGATTACACGTTCCTATTTTCCCCATATGCAGGTAAGTCCAGAATCACTACTCACATTCAGTTTGCTCTTGACCGGGAAGAATACGCGATTTTTCAATTCGGTGGTCCATCTCCAATGTCTCGGCTCGTACCAAATGTCCCAGCCGAGGCGTGGATTTCAAATGAATACAGGTATTGTTGATCGATGAGAGAGATCACTCCTAGGCGGTCACTGCGCCACTGTCCGGACTGGGATTACATGCCTTACAATCCTGATAAATGTTTTTGCAACTGCAGCATGTGACTGACGTGGGTCCATTTTTGCCTGTAGCAAAACCTAGCAATCACCTGCTGCTGCGGTTGTTCGTGACCCACAACCTCCTCTTCTTGGGACAGCAGTGGCTGCGGTCCACATTGCTTCTCATGCACAAAAAACAATGCTGTGGTTGACACAAAACTCCTGGACACAACTTCCTTTTTTCAGTTTCCCAATGATTCTTCCTCGCGTAAAGTCACCCTAGTGTTGTCTCTGAGACTTGATGTAATCAAGAACACCACTACATTCCACAGTCACTTCTCCCTGCTTAGTTCACCCCTCTTGTCCTGCCCCACGATACCCATCGTTCTGGGTGGCCACCCCATTTAGGCTCCAGATTGAAGCCGGATGCAAGACATATGAGGCCCACTTCGGTGCCCATGACTGTAGGGCTTCTAGCATTATGCCCGTACAGTTTCATCCAATTCCATCTAATTGTTAATAAGTTAGGACAATTTATCTATCTGGTCCTTAAGTTTTGCACACCAGTGTATTATATTTGAGAACTTCATGAAATTTGGTTTCATTAGGAAGAAGACATTGTACCCTTTCACATAGTGCACAGAAAACGAAATGAAAATGGAGCGACTCGAAAAAAGTGGGACTGCGCGTGCACGCGTCCTCATAATTTTGACCCAAACTGTACAATTTGGGTCTTCATTTTCCGAGTCGGGAGTGGGATTAAGAAAAAATTTGTTGCAATTGACTGATTTTGAAGTAATCTGGGTATTGGCTAAAACGACAGACGAAACCGGGGTTGATCTTGAGGAGCCCGTGCCCATGCTAAATCAAACATTCCATCCTTCCGCTGAATGTAAGAAAAACTTGCCTGAGAAAATAGTAGTGGAAGTGTGTTTCACAGATTTGCGGTTTGTTTTTTTCGTTCTTGGAACCTTACAGTCCAGCGCTGCTACTTTTTAGTTTAGCGCTACTACAGCTTTTTTGAGAAGCAACATTATTCCGTATTTCTTAGTAATTCGGTCGGGACTCGTCGGTGATACGATCCGCTCCATGTTTTGCCTAAGGGAGGATCCCGAACGAAGGTTGAAGAAGGAGTACTTTACCTGGAAGAGAGACAGGAGGACCGATCTGACATAGCTGTCCCCTTGGCGCATTGGCTGGGTACGCCCACCGACTATCTAATCACTCGCCGCAGGTCTATACGTGGCGAGTGATTAGATAGCAGAGAGCGTAGTGTTGAAGAGGGCACAGCGATGAGAGTCGCATCAATGCGCAAATCAACGGGCAAGCAAAGGGGATCCCATTTCTCGGATTCTATGCCGTTTCTTCTCCATCCGTGGTCCATTGAAGACACTGAAGGCCACTACCCTTATTTCCAATCAGCTAAGACTCCATCGTGAATTCTGCCTTTCAGTGAACATCATCGTATTTCCGTTGCCCCCCCCCCCCTCGCTCATGGTCCAGCCACTAATTCTGAATATGTACCTTCGCTGCATTGCGGAACGACTTTTCTGCTTACTTCGAAAATCTCAATTTTTTTGTGAAATAACGTCTGTTTGAAGTGCAAGTTTTTTGGTGCAAATTTGTGCCAACGAAACCAAAATTATGAACATGGGGCTCTCACAGCTGGACAGAGTGGAGCTACGCACATACTTAAAATGTTTAGTATTGGCACTGTTATATAATATTTATCTATTTATTTTTCGACCAGATAGCTGCTTCGATTCTTATCATTCGCTTTCCTAGGAGGAATCTTGCAGTTTCTTTCATGAAATGCAGTGTTTCAGAGTTTCGGCCAAAAACGACTTCAATGTGATGCATCCATTTGCCTACGTATTAGAAAAGCTACTCCGATACAGTGATGAGAACGCCAATGTTCACGAGAAAAGCAGCTTTCAAACTTTCCATCGGCCATCTCGCGAAGGCTGGGTGGAGCGACCGGTGACAAGGTCGAGAAAAAAGAGCGTCAATTGTACCATTATGTAAATATAGGACCAATAAATGATTTTTTATAAATCTGCCTTTTTTGTCTGAGTTTTTCACTAATTAAGGAAACTCGGCAAAAGGAGTTAGTTATTCCAAATTCAGCAGCAAACGTTTCTATGATAACTACTGTTTTACGCCGCAGTTCATGTTGCGAAAGTTGTTACAAGAATGCTGACTTATGGGCAAAATTTCAGCCCCAGTAGGGACTCGTACCTCAATCTCTTGTCTTCCGAACGATTGTGCTACCAATTCACTGCCGAGGCACCATATCAACCGAACTCACCTTCAATGGTAAACCAACATAGCTTGTCAGCATTCACGCATATAACAGGCGAATTCAAGTGACGAGAAGTGGTCAACATCGACATAACGACGCATGAAGCGCAACGGTGATGGCGTTGCCGAATTCACGCAGTAGACGATCCCTCCTTTACCGCAGTGGGACCTGGTAAGCACCAAGTCGGCTCATGGGAGTTGAATGCACACCCTGCGATCTAATTGATTTGAAAATCCCACACAAAAGAATAGATGCAACTTGGACCACTGAGTGACAAAAAGCACTAAAAATAGCGGAAATTCAATTTATGGCGTAAGGGTGTCCAAGGGAACAAAAGGACTCGAGGGGAGTTAAAAAGGCAAGACAAGAAAACATAAACATAGAATGCTGTCACAGCGGCGCGTCAACGGATCCATGAGGCATACGAGCCCTCAGCGGCTTACCGGTTGAGACCAACTTTAAGAAACTTTGGATTGGTACCTGGTAAACAGGTAAAGCGAGCCAAGATCAAGAGTACTAGTCAAGCAAAATGTGTGAAAGGTGGATCACCTATAAACCGTGTCAACAAAGTCTAAAGCTAAAGTTAAAGATGCTGATATGATTCTGTTCCGATTATGTAGCTCGCCTCATAAACTGTCACTGCAACTTTGACCGCTACAATTTTTTTAGAAAATCACGTGGCACTTCGGATCTCAATATTTGTAACCAGCAGTTTTCGTATTTACACAAACCTACAATCAGGGTTCCAAGGGAAGTTGAAAGGCTTCTCTGGATAGTCACTGTTTTGGGGCACAAAAATGCCACAATCTCTGCAGAAACGGTACCTACGGTCAGAATTTCTCCAACGAGACTGGTCGCGTTGTGCCAGTTTGTCTTTAAGTGATTCCTTGTGGATTAGTGACAAAGGACGATGCCTCATATTGTATTGTAGTCCTCACTTCGATTGTACAACGCGTATTCCAAGTTACAATTTTTTCATTGTCTTATTGAAAAGAAAAGTAAAGTTAAAGCTTATTACCGGGAGAGTTTGAAATCATTACACTGGACAACGGTCCGCTCAGCTTACCTTCACTCAAATTTGGTCAATTCTAATTACTTGTTCAGTGATTGATACACAAGAAAAGGCACAAGTGGAAGCAATCAAGATGAAGAAGAAAGAGATGGGCAGTTGAACAGCCACTGCAATTAAAATCACGGAGGAAGTTTAGATGAGAAAAACTAAGTAGATCACTAGAAAGATGATAAAAATCAAAGGAAAAAGAAGACGAGCGATCACGTCGACGCCGTTGTTGTTTCTGAAGTTGGCGCACTTCGTGTTGTACGCAACCTCCAATGTCTGAAACATAAACTGTTGAATTCTCCAACTTCTCTCTTCTTTAACCTCGGCATGTCAGTTATTAAATTTCTTGTGCCTTACGAGGTTGTTCGGTGGAATTATTTCAATGGCCTAACGTTTCGACTGAATCGTCGTCTTCAGAGGCCGACGGTTCTACTCTTTGAGCGGAGAGTCCGCTTCCACACAGAACTTGTGATCTCTTCGCTCAAAGGGTGGAACCGTCGGCCTCCGAGGACGAGATTCAGTCGGAACGTTCCTTACTTACTTCCTTACTTCTCGACCGCTATTCGTCCCGGGCACGCCAGAAACGCAGGTCGCACATCTTCCAGGCCGCTCTGCTTCGGGCTCTTCTGCGCCACAACTGGCCGTACATCTTCACGAGAGGGTCTGCCCATCTGGTGGGGGGTCTGCCTCTGGGCCTTGTTTTTCCCCTTGGGTACCAGTCAGTCACTCTCTTCGTCCAGCGATCATCGGTAAGTCTAGCCACATGACCGGCCCACCTCCGCTTGGAATTATAGATGGCATCGACGACGTCCTTCACCATCGTACGAGCGCGGATGGTGTCATTGGGTATGCGGTCTCGGAGCGTTACCCCGCACATGGCCCTCTCCATGGCTCGCTGAGTGACTGCGAGTTTCTCCTCTTCAGAGACTGTGGTGCTCCACGTCTCCGCCCCGTAGGTCATCGCGGGAAGAACATGCGAGTTGAAGACGTGAGCTTTGACCCGGGGTCGACGTGCTTAGAAGTTAGTACATCTCGAAGTTTATTGAACGCGGTCCAGCCCGCTCTGCGGCGTCGGCTAATCTCGAGCGTGAGATCGTTATTCATGTTGACCGCTTTACCGAGATATACGTAAGAGGAGACTCGCTCGAAACGTTAGGCTACTAATATTAAATGTTCCACCAAACAACCTCGTAAGGCACAAGAAATCTAACAACTCAAACATTCGTAAGGTGAACTGCGACCAAAAACAGCAGTTAACAATCAAAAACAAGTCAACTTATAAACTGTTGAGTCTGCGCTCCAGTGGTGAAAATGGGGCCCTTTTGGACGAATCTATAGTAGAGTAATTGCAAGAAAGTGGGAAAGATTCAAGCTCCCATACTCCCAGAGATGTGTCATGAGTTCGGGTTTGTCCATGCTCACAATGACTTTTGGTGGCAGGCCCTTGTCCGTGCCAGTGCCTCGATTTTCCATTAAAGTGCTTGCGCCACGTAATTCAGAGTGAGAAAAGGAAGCCAGTGCAGACCGACACTAACCCACGCTCCAGGATTACGCTGTACGGTGCCGTTAGCAACGGGGGCAGCTTTATCGAGCTCCAAAATAAAATGTGAAATCTGGTTGTAGTTCGTAACAGATTTCGCTAAGTATATTCCGCGTTGTGCGTACGATTACAGCGCTTACGATGAGAGCCCCTACGAGATTCGGCATGTTTTCAGGCACGGAGGTTGCGCAAACCCCTATAAAATGATTCAGCCTATGTCAAACGCCACAACTACTTCCCTACAAGGAGTCTTTTCACGAATCACAAGCACTCACAAAAGAGAAGTTTCAAATATAAAAAATTTGAAGAGTTGCAGATGGTCATTTTTGGATTGCGGTGCCCCTCTCCGAATTGAGGGCTGGCAAGACTGATTATGATGCATTATCAAAGGGAACTTATGGATGCAGTGTCCGCATCCATTTTTAAACGAAGTACATTTTCGCGTAGGATCCCCGTAACACCAGGAAGTTTGCAGTTGGGTGTTCCCGCGCTGTGCTTGACTTCGCAAAGACAACCGCCCAAATATAGTATTCCGTCAAAAAGAGAAAAATTAGAAGGGATTCTCTAAAAGGGTGAAGAAAGGTGATAAACAGCGAGTTTGAGATAACAACGGTGGCACCTCTTTTGCTGCTCCAATGGGATTTTCTTCTGGATGACCATTGGCCGTGTATCGAATAGAACGTCGTATACCGCAGCAAATAACAATAAAGTATTCTACCTGAAAAAAGCATGTGCAGTGGAAATCGAATGTAGTCCTTACTAAGAAAAAGCTTTTTCTGTCCAATAAATCTCAAGACCCTATTCATAAAAAATGAACCCACTGGTAACCTGTTCCACTAAAAGCCATTGCTGTTTAATTTCAGCGGGCGGAATACCAGTCCAGTTCAGGTGTGAGTCAACACTGGTGCCATGCCGATTTCGAAAATGTTACGAGCCCCTCTTGGCCATGTGGAAGTCTTCCCATGTAATCACCGTACTACCCCTACCACCACTCTTCCTACAGTGGCTGTTTCGATAGCACTAGATCATTACAAAGACCAGTCGACTCACTTTAACTCGAGCCCCTCAGCAGTTGTCCTCTAAAAGCAAAGGGGGAGGGAGGAGGGAGTGAAGTCATCAAGGAAAAAAGGCAAACGCTCTGATTTTATCTATTTCACAGGTTTCTTCTTTTGTTTTCTTTCTCTTTCCTTTTCTTCCCGCCGAAGCGGTTTTCTCCTTCCACAACCACAGCCCCCTTCAACGCCCATCCAATGACACTCCCTCCTCCCCGAGTCCGACACCTGCCTGTCTAGCCAGACGGCTGACTGGTTCAAAACCACGAAGAATCACGCTACCAACGCTAAGAAGGTGAGAGAATAGACGAGAATGGCGAACCACCGAGCTAAACACCAGAAGTTGCCGTGGCGATGTCACGTCGGAAAACCTGAAATAGACTTCTGAACACGGCGAGCTTCAAATTTTTGAAGAGATGACTCTGAGGTGGCTGTATTTTGGAGATAACACCAGACAAGCCAGACTGGTTTCTAAGATTTGCGACAAATTCCATCCATAATAAAGCAGGTCCCGACCGCTAACATCAGATAAGCCATTTCCTTGGCCGACCTCTTTCCACCTTTATCCCGATCTCCGTGACGAACCAAATTATGGTGTTCCACAGCAAACTCCAACCACTATGGCACATGCTCCTCCCACTGATATTAACTAGCCTTCCCTCCTCCTCGTGACCTCTATTCAATTTTTTCCGCTCTTCAAGGCTTCTCGCAAGCAAATTATGAGAAATCGTGCGAAACGCTGTCCACAGAAAGAGACTCTCCTCATTGTGGGGGATCTTTACCCACGTCAATGTGCCGGAAACACCTTAGACATTGCTTCTCCACAACAATGTCCTCACAGTGTTTAAAGCTAATTGACGGCACTGCTCAATAAGGGCTGCTCTCCCTAAGCAATGCTGCAGCTAAGGCTCTCCTAAGCCGAGTCATATTCATAAAGCATAGCTTTTCAGGAGAATACCAAGGAGCCCGAAGGTGGGTCTCCATTATACGTCTTGCACAGCTTTACCCATTTTTGTCCGGTCTTTGAAGTATTTTATTATTTAGTAGTAGGAACTTTTCGTGGTGGGCGCCGCTCATTTCGATGCACGCCACGCCCACTGCCAGACTCCGCTTAAAAAATTCATTTTTGTAGCTCTTACAAGGGGAGGTCTTTCAGGTGTACCCGCGCTTTCTCAAAACGGTTTTTTGCATGATGTAGAGGGATGTGCGTGGATTACAGAACTGTAGTCCATTTCCGCTAAATGGCTCTCTGAATGCCAAAAAAGGAGTGAGCAAATGGTCCTTGGTTCGATTCTCCGCGGCGACAAATTTTTTGCATAGCGATTGACGCAAAAATTGGCACCAAATACGTCAACAGCAGGAATTGATGTCATGTTTATAATTAGCCTTGTAAGAAACCCTTAAAAGTAAGCGTATACCGAAAAACAGGTGGAAAAAAGTTGTGACGCAACACACGGCACCAATGTGCCGTCGAACAGTGTCATAGGGACCCAAAATGATGTCGGAGCTGAAAATGATTGTCATATTCGTAATCAAGACACCTGATTACCCTCCTATTTGAAGTTTCCAGGAAAATCTGTAGCACGTCAGGCTCGTCGGCGAAGCGTCTTGGAAATGACCTCCTCTAGATCCCCATCAAGAAATGAGAAATGTTCCTACCGAACAGAATAGCAGACACCCAAGCTGATGACGGTCGGGGAGAGGGGACACCCGCAATGCAGTAGTTTTCTGCTAGTTCTCCACACGGAGCTTGCCCCCAAGCGACTGGAAATACTTGAAGAGTTACTTATGTCTAGTGAAAATTTTCGAAGTTAGGTCAAAGATGCGATTTTCCTCGAAACTTCGGCTATAGAGGTAAATCAGTGCGCTGGTTAAGAATATGGCATTGTTTTTTGGAGCCGCCGCTATCTGGCGCCATTTCGACGTTACAACTTTGTTTGCCTGCTTTCGGTGAAAACTTACCTCATCGGGGTTTTAACGGTTCTGATCATGAATAATACATCTATTATGGCGTCTATGCAGCTTGGAGCAACGAGACCGAGATCTGGAAGTGCCAACAAGAAATGCAAAAAATCACGCATCTCGAGGATCCTCCGTGCCACGCTTCGATGCAAGACTCGAATCGTGCAATCACCTCGTTACCGCTTAACCTCACAATTCGGACCATCCACACAGGACCCATCGGTAAGATTTTCGCCGCCTAGATCTTCTACGGAACGCTGGTCTCACACTGGTACCACATTCTGTTTTCTCCTTTTGTCACCGAAGAGCGCCACGATAAGCAATTCGTTGAAATTGTTCGATGTGTACATAGCGTTTCTAAATCGAGTCATCGCTGCGTTGGAGCTCTGTTCTTGTCCTTTTCAGCGTATGGGTGTCTGGTCGGTCGACTACATTCCCCGTGGTGTTCGATTTGGACCTCTGCTTGGTGAGGTCAAAATGAATGGAGCTGACTGCGCGCCGATCTGTCCTGCAGAAGCCTCCAGCGCCTGGTGGATCCTTCTGGAAGCGGACCGTCCACTCCGACTGCTCCCACTACTTCACCGAAGGAGTGGAAGGTAGGTTCAGCCCTTACTTACGGAACCTATACAGAGTTACCCAACACCGCTAGTTCGGAACCAACGAGATCTTCCCAAGAAAGGCATGAAGGCTATGTAGGTGATTTCCAATCCAAAAGGTGGCACCTGGTTCAGTTTAGAGCGGGTTATTGAAAAGCAAAACAACAGTTGAACCCTGAAAATGGCCCTTGGCTTAGTTTAGACCGGGTGACAAAAACAACAGTTGAATCTTGGAAAAAGTGCAAAAAAGGGGTCCACAAGGACTTAAAGACACCCTTCGTCAAAGCTGTCATTCAGGTGATGTCACCGTCAGGTGGTAGAGCGTTGAAGACGATCTTGGTGGAGGACGACAGTCGCTGCAATTGGATGAAGTTCGTCAACGTCGCCGTCTCGAACGAGACACAGAATTTGGTCGCGTGCCAGGTAATCGCTAAAATCTCCGTCGGAGCACTGATAGTGAACCAGCTGAAGTGGAAGTAGCTCTTCAATAGCGAGGCTCTGAAGAGTTCTTCTGAACAGTTGTCGGTCATCGTTAGTTCGAAGTTAGCTGCTGGTCATCTTGACAGTTTTGAACGGGAATTGACTACACGTCTTCATGTTTCTGCTTCAGATGGAGAAGGACATCTACTTCTACTCCATTCGATCGATAAAGCCAAACAGCGAGTTGACCTTTTGGTTCAGCAAGGACTACGCTCAAAAATTGAACTATCCGGTCTCTTGTGAAGCGGCAAGAATGAGTAAGTCGCCGTAAGACCGATGTCAGACTTTGCGAATCGACTCTAGCGAACGCGGTCGCGTCGCGGCCAGCGAATCGCTCAATTGGCTGGTACCGCAACGCGACCGCGGACGCTAGCGAATCGCTCGATTCGCAAAGTCTGACAACTGCCCAAGTGATTTTCCACCTCATCAAGCGCAACTATTTTCCAGCACCCAAGCGTAGCGCTCCGGCGCCACCACAACAGCCATGGGCTATGGAGGATAGAGCCTCACCACAGGAGGCGTTAGATTACAGCATGAAACGTGATGCGATTGAGAGCAGTCACAGCGAGAAGGCCGACCGTGGAGACACGTCCGACGTTGACGTGTCGAATTAGGTTTCAGTGGGGCAAGCGTTAGGCGGACACCTTCTGGATTAATGGCGCTGATTGGATTACGTGTTAGAAGATTGAAATTTCAGCAGAGTGCTTCTCTCCATCATGGCTGAGGTGCAAAACACGTCGGCGAATTGTCATACGGAATCCGGTCATCGCCGGTACCCATCCGGGCTCAGCCTCTCTGCCGACACCTGCTCCAGTTAGGCCGAGCCCTCTTCAAATCGGCCTGGTTCCCTGTATGCAGGGACTTACTCGAGAAGAGACTCACGACTGAGTAGGAGGTATCCTATCAGCAAGAGCTCCTGGTTGCGTGTTCATGCTAGTAGCGAAACTGTTGCATTCAGGTGCGGTGGGAGGCATGGGCTGGGGTGCCCCAATCGACGCCAGCCGCAGCAGCTACTGCCGCCACTGCTGCAGCTACCAGAATCACAGCTTCGGGAAGGCCAAGCGACGCCCAGCCGATTCTCGCCGCCACAGCTGGCAGCGGTTTCGGCAATTACAACGGCATCTACGGAGACGCACCGTTATAGAAAGCCATTCCATGCGAAGATCTTCTGCTACAATAATCAGCCATAAAAAAAAAGAAACTCTTATTGAGGGTAAAACCTATCTTCTTCTGCTGTGCAACTCCCGGCGGTTCGGGGGGTGGTGGAGCGGGTGTCGGCGGGGGCTCGGCCTCATTTCGGAGGAGGAGGGGGGAGGAGGAAGGTGGAGCCTCTTTCCAGCGCCACCAGTCCGCAGGCATTCAAGTACCGCTAACCATAACGAGGAGAGTACGGCGAATCCTAAAAGTCGAGGAATATAATATAATATAATGTTAGTGAGGCGTTGGACTTACTGATGAGCATTTTTTTCAAGTACATCCAAAACAAGAGAACGGGCAGACTCGGCTACCGCCTGCAGAGAGTGCTCACAACGACCGTTTGTGGGCAACTGCGAATGTGGAAAAGTGCACGTGCAGGTATTGTCAGACTTGGAAACTGGGACCAATTACTTCGTGGGATCTCGACGATGTTCGTGGTGTAGGCCCACCACCTGCGCGATCGTTGTAGGACCCACACCGGCGAACGTCCTTTCAAGTGCACCGTTTGTGGAAAGGAATTCACTCAATTGGCACATCTGCAAAAGCACAATCTCGTACATACTGGTCAGTTTCTGGTCTTTAGAAAAAGGTTTACGGACTACTTGAACTTGCCCTCAGTGGTCCTGCCGCGAATGGTTAGAGGCCAGACGACTAGAGAAAGCCTGGTTTGGCTCAAATCCCGGGTACCCGACAGGAGGCCCGTCGCGCGGCAAGAAGGCAGAGTCAGCGGACGAGTCGCAGCGCGTGATGTGCGATGTAGGACGTACAATGGTACATTCTATTTAACTTGACGCGAAATCACTACAGTACGCGCTGCGACTCGTCCGCTGACTCTGCCTTCTTGCCGCGCGACGGGCCTCCTGTCGGTACCCCCAAATCCAATGAGGAAGGTGAGAGCCCTAGGACTAAGCCTTGGAGGGAGGAGGGACTCCGGGGTGGATGAGCCAATTGTGGCAAAGTTTGAAGGTGTGGGATCACAGCAGTCATGAGCCGCTGTTTAGGCGAGAGAGCGCAGGCGGGAGCATAAAATTGAGGCCGATGTCAGACTTTGCGAATCGCGCGATTCGCTAGCGTCTGCGGTCGCGTCGCGGCCAGTGAATCACTCAATTGGCTGGTACCGCAACGCGACCGCGGACGCTAGCGAATCGCGCGATTCGCAAAGTCTGACATCGGCCTAAGGTGGTCTAAAGGACCGAGTTCAAGTAGTCCGTAAACGCTTCAAAACACGTCTTCTGAAGATATTGTGGGTGTTTTCAGGTGAACGTCCGCATCGTTGCGACATCTGTGACAAGCGCTTTTCGTCAACGTCGAACCTAAAGACGCATTTGCGACTTCACAACGGCCAGAAACCGTACGCTTGTGATGTGTGCAGCGCCAAATTCACTCAGTACGTCCATCTCCGCCTCCACAAACGATTGCACGCCAATGAACGACCTTATGCCTGTATGTCCTGCGGCAAGAAATACATCAGGTATGGTCATGCTCTATCACTGATTGTGGTATGAAGCGGTGTGCCATGAAGCGAATTACGGTGACTAGGAAATTGGGGTGTCAGGGAATCGATCCCACAGCCTTTCGCCCGTAACCCGGACCACTACCACTGCTCTATTTTGCTTCATAACTCCGTTCACAAAATCGATTGACAGATTTGGAAAGCTGATTCAAGATTGTTTGTTGTTTATTGTTTATCAAGAGCGGCCCAAAAACACACCTAATAGAGTAGGTCTTATTGCATATGGTCACTTCGAACACCATCCTTTCGCGGCCAGCAGGTTTCCCTATGGCATGGCTACCGAACAGCCGGTAGCCGACGACGTAAAGTCGACTGAACAGAAACTGGTTTACCTCCAACGACACAGGCTAGAAAAGAGTCATTACTTCTGTAGGCCGGGAGAACAGATATACAAATAGCCTTGAGGGATTGACTAATCGGAGATTTCCCACGTGGGAGTTATCATTCTACCCATGTGGCTACCAGTTTCAGAATTCAAATTCCAAAAAATTCTGGTAACCAACTTCCGCAGACTTGAAATATAATACATTCAATCGGCGCTCATGTCTTCCAGGGGGCTTTCAACAGAGGGCGCGATGGTAGGTGGACACTGGGGAGAAAGACTCAGAGAGAGGCAAGAAACGCCGAAGATGAACCACCAACTTGTTCACATGCCACCACAGAAATACCTCCCCCTTTACACTAGTCCCAAGTACAGTAATTGGCCACTCATTTAAATTAGCCCCCCCCCTCCCCACACGAAATGAGCGCCATTCAGTCAATATCACTAGTTGTTCTGAGTTATGTTTTTGATCTTCTCCCTTCGAAGCTTTCTCTGTTTGGTAGGCGAAATTCATCCAGGAGAGCTTTAGAGGTCGATTTGAAGAGCTCGGACCTCCCACTGCCTCTTGGGATATATCTGGAACTTGGGAAGGAAGGAAAAGTACTGAATAAGTCGGAGTAGAAAACGGTGTGAGGATGGAGAAATCGTGCTGTCAAAACCCGGACGGCGGTAGTACCTTCCCTCTTAATCTTCAGAGTTCCATTTGAGTCCCACAGCTCTTAGAAGTTCGCAGTTTAGCGGGACGAATACCTATCTGAATGTTCTTGGCGTTTGAGAGGAGGTTAGAAAAGGCTTACAGGACTGGGGCGAGCTTTTGGAACTTGACCAATCATATAGTTAAATAAAAAATGAAAATAAATTTCTTCGAGAATTTTCTCAAATAGGTAATGGTAGCTTTCCGTTTACTCAGTTATATGTCTGCCAATAGTAAAGCATTTCGGCAAAACGCGGCTACGCGGCAATCATTACAATCCTAAGAAAAGCCCTTTGAGTAGCCCACTGTGAGCTCACGCAACTACTAACCACTAGCCTTTATTAAGCCTTTTTTTTGAGCATTTATTCGTTTCCAAAACGGCGATACTTGAAGGGGATCGGCTAGCTGTCACACCTAAGTCCGTTTGTGACGCGGAGATGACCTTGCGATTGTCCAAGCTGGAAAAACTGAGCTGGGCGCAAGGAGAGAGGAGGACAGCAGCCGTAGTCGTTTGGAAACTAGCGTACAGTAACCCGTATAGAGTATTTTTTCATTCCAGCGATGTAATGCGTGATAATGTTGAGACGGGAGGGCAGCAAGGTCCTTCTCATTGAGATTTTGGAAGAACACTGAGATAGGCTTTGAATCCGCCTAAGTTCCCTCCCCTTGTCAAAGCTTCAGCTGATAATTAGAAATTTTCAATTGTTTCCAGTGTGTCAAAAAAACTGCCCCGCGAGATTCCCACATTCCGCCAACAGAGAGCTCATAAAACGTGTGCTCGATTCTGTGTTTTTTTGAAGGCCACATGTCCTTGAAAAGTTTAAACGGGGACAGATTCCATCCAAAAAAGTCCGTACGAGAGGTCGGGGTTACTCTCTTGGACGCGCTCTATAAAGATCGAGGGTGCCGTTGCCATCTTGAAATTGTTAACGTGCTATGAGAAAAAGCACAGGAACTGAAGCAAAGCGATCCCTCCCCCCCTAACGTAGGACCTCCAAGTTGGCCTCTTTGACCTTTGGGCCATCATTCCATTTGCGGAGAAAAATCTTCGTAATTTTATACGACAGCATACGAAGCAAATTTGGAAGAAAGATTTTCGGAAATCAGCGTTTGAAGGCGCGTCAGGTGGTATACCCTCCCCTTCAAAAAGCCAGAAATTGTGCGGTGCAGACCATACACCACAAGTGACGACGGCCTCAAGTAAATCTGGTTAGTAGTGGTTCATAGTGATAGCTGATTTTTAGTAAATGATAGTTGTAATTACTGTCAACTGATCGAATACAACTGTAACAGGTTAATCATTTCATTGGCAAAAAAATTTGCATTTTCTGGAGGCCGTCGTCACTTGTGGTGTATGGTCTGCCACCCGACACTTTCTGTCTTTTTTGACAGGGCGAGTCACTAATCTCATCTTCAAACGGCCATTCGACCTACATCCTACCTTGTTAGACACGGAAGATAGGAGTTGATGTTGTGAATGTAGTACTTCATTCGAGAGTGGGTTTTCAGCCCGTCGGTCTTCGAACGCAATTAGGAAGACGACCACCGGTGCAAGCGGATGAGAAAGAGATGGAAGATGGACCGATGAGGACGAGGCGTCTTTGCGTTCCACGACGCCGATGCTGGCTGCACCACCTTCCACACCCCATCAACAGCCGACCTCATCGCACATGTCCGCTCCAGGCATGTCGCTTTGCCACGAATCGTCCATGAAGGTAGGCAAAACCTTTGTTTTGACGCCCAAAAAACTCAGTTCCAGTATTCTGTTTTAGTTCAAGGTCGAATCGATGCCGATGAACAACCTGCCGTCCTACTCCGGCCTGCCACCGCTATCGTCGCTGCCCTTCGTTGCACTCCTCCCTGCCTTCATCCCTTTCCTCCGGATTTTCTTCATCGTTGTCTTCATCTTTGTCGTCCAGTCTGGGCACGAGTAGTCTCCACGATCCGTCCAACTCGCTCAGGACCCACCCTATAACGAAAAAACTACCAGAACTGAATTCCCTTAAAGGCAATATCCTACCCAGCTTAGGGTACCAATGAACTTGCCCATGGTATTAGAGTAGAACTACGTTCTCGGAAGCGCTACTTAGCGGTCAGGCGTATGTCAGGACTGTTTCCCAATCGCTAGCGTCCGCGGCTCGCGTCGCGGCCAACGATTCGCCTTGTTGGCTGGTACCGCAACGCTACCGCGGTCGCGTCGCAGCAGCGAATCGCTCCAGTGGCTAGTGCCGCAACGCGACCGTAGATTGCTATGGAATTGCTCCAGACGCTGGCTAATCGCGCCTTAAGAGGGCAGCACACCGCACACACACACTGATATCACTGCCCACTTTTCTGGAATTCTATCGAATTGGCATTTTTTGCACTATTTAATATTCGCTGAATGTAAATATATGAAGTACAATATCTAATTATTATAGTACGAGGTTACGGTTTATCTGAAACCTGCCCCCGTTCGTTCGCGGTTACCCGTTACTTCCACACGGCTTTATTCGTTGAATCAGAGGATACGTTGCATCTTCATTTTGCTCGCTCGTTTTTAATCTCTCCCTAAACGCGCATTTTATTCGTTGTACTTTCTTTTCTACGTTATTTCACATTGTTCTGAATGTTATTTTGTCTTTGAGCGTTCAACTGCAAGGTTTTGGTGTTGTGGGTCCTAGCACGATTGTGGAGTGTCGTCGTAGTGTGTCCAATTCCAACGCGTGATATTCCGCTTTCGTATCCTGATCGTGTAATATAATAATATCTGTGATTTCTGTGCGAGTTAATTCTATCGTCTCTTCCTCACCTGACCTCCTTAAGCACACTGATTTATCGTTTCTTCGCCCTAATAAAAAACGTTTCACATTCAAAAATAACTTGGTACACAAGTGACAGCACGGTGCTTTATACGGGGTGTGGGTCGCTAGTACAGAACGCAACTTATCTGCTTCTAGCGCGAAATTTTTCTGCTGCCCGAGCCCCAGGTCCACTTATGACCAAGGTTGCACATGGGATTCCCGCAGCGAAAAAAAGCTCCGCGATGCGGAGGCAAAAATTCGCGTTTTGTCCTAACGGTCTACAACCCTTCATTCCAGAGGCGATTTGAGTATATTACTACGCGATTCAAATTTGACTTTTAATTGGGGTCTCATTCGGTAAGGAAGGAGAACTTGTAGTGCGACAGTAGCTGCCGTCTCCGAAAAATTCAGTTATTGCAAGCCCTATCTGCGGACTCCTTGTACTCGGTCATTGAAACTACCCTAATTTGACGCTCCCGTCTGCGGTCTCGCTCAAAGGCAAGCCTCAGGATAAAACTGGTGTGTAAGAAACTTCGTATAATGGCTATGATCGACTCTCGATAAACCTCGGCATAGTTATAGTACGATTCTATTTGAATTAATACACGAGGTTGACAATATGTTCCGGTGGCTAACGTTTCGGCGATTTCGCCTTCTTTGGAGCCTTCCTAGATCGGCGGAATCAGCTCACAGGAATGACTGTATAGCGGATACCAAACTAATCCGAGTTCCAGTGACAGTGAGAGCATCAATTTTTCGTAGTAATGATGTCTTTTTATCGTCCAGAATCGACTTTCTTTTAATCT